AGAATCTGTTCTTGATAATGCATCTGCGACAGAATTCTGTTTACCTGAAATGTGTTCAATATCAGTGGAAAATTGAGCAATAAAATCAAGTTGACGAATCTGTCGTGGTGAAGCTTTATCTGATTTCTGGCGAAAGGCATAAATTAATGGTTTATGATCCGTTCTGATAATGAATCTGCGTCCTTCTAGTATGTATCTAAAATGTTTAATCGCTAAATAAATTCCTAAAAGTTCTCTATCATAAGCACTATAAGATCGTTGAGAGGAATTTAATTTTCTTGAAAAGAAAGCAATAGGTTTCATGTTTTTATCAACTATCTGCTCAAGAGAAGCACCGATTGCGAAATCTGAAGCATCACAAGTTAAAATTAGAGAAACTGATGGTGCTGAATGAGTTAAAGTTGTAATCTTCAAAAGTTCTTCTTTACAATTCAAAAAAGCTTCTTCTGCTTCCGGAGTCCACAGGACCAATTTTCTATCACGTTTTCTGCTATCTTTGAGAAATTCAGTAAGTATCACTTGATTTTTGGCTGCATTTTTAAGACATCTTTTGTAATAGTTAATAATACCTAAAAATCGTCTCAACCCCAGAAGAGTAGTGGGCTTCTTGTAGTCGATAATTGTTTTAACTTTTTCAGCCGTCTGTTTGATTTCCTGACTAGAAATTAGATATCCGAGAAAAAGGATTTCCGACACTCCGAACAGACATTTAGAGACATTGATCGTTAAACCAAAATGTTGAAGACGTTCAAAGATAACGCGTAAGTGTTTAAGATGTTCTTCCTCATTAGAAGACGCAATTAGAATGTCATCCAAGTAGCAAAAACAGAACTCCAACTTAACACATTATTCATTAAGCGTTGGAAAGTCTGAGCAGCATTGCGTAAACCAAAAGGCATCATCAAAAATTCAAATAAGCCAAATGGAGTTGTAACTGCGGTTTTATGAATATCTTGTTTCCGGAACTTGATAATAAACCTTCACAAGATCGATTTTAGAGAAAATGTTTTTACCGTGTAGACTAAGATATAAAATCTTGAATATGTAGCAAAGGATATCTATCTGGGACGGTGGCTGCATTCAAAGCACGATAATCACCACATAATCTCCATGTATTGTCTTGTTTAGGTACCATGTGAAGAGGAGCTGCCCAAGTATTGCTTAAAGGTCGACAAATGTCTTGTTCCATTAAAAACATAAATTCAGCTTTAGCAAATTTTAATTTTTCTGGAGACAATCTTCTAGGGGAAGAAAATATTGGTTGTCCTTCTGTTAAAATATGATGTTCGACACCATAGTTTTTAAAGGTAGGAACCGCCATAAATCTTGTAAGCTTCGGAAATTCAGCTAAAAGTCTTGTATAAATAGAATTCGGTGAGGTAGTATAAATAGTAAAATGATTAACTACCGAAATTCTTCCATGATGCGATAAACCAGTGATATTATCAATAAGACGTTTATTTCTTACGTCTATAAGTAAGCCAAAATGACTGAGGAAATCTGCACTTAAAGTAGAATATGACACGTCTGCAATGCAAAATTTCCATCTAAAAGCTCTTCGCAGACCAAGATTTAAAGTTAACAACTTGTAACCATAAGTATTTATTACAGATCCATTAGCAGCAAAAAATTTAATAGAGATTGGTGACAACTTAGGACAAAACTTTCTTGGAATAAACGAAATATCTGCTCCTGTGTCCACTAAAAAATGTAATCCAGAAGACTTGTCAGAGAAAATGAGGCGATTATTAATAGGCCCGTTGTCTGATGCCTTGACATCCAACAGCAAACTTTCCTGTTTATCCTGTTTATGTATGGTAAAACGAAATTTTCGCCCAACTGTAGGAGACATTGTATATCAAAGGGAATATCTACAGACGACAAATTCAATAATCAATCTTTCCGTATCATAGATAATGAAGGAACAATGTTCGAAGGATAAAAAGAATCAGGATGTATAAACTCTGGACGTTGAGGAACTGTGATTGTTGATGTGTGCGTGTTAAACTTCGGTATAACGATCGGTTTTATATTTATATGTTCCTGTTTCTTATGTTTAGTAGTGAGCCAATTTGTTTTCTTATTCAACCTGTTTCTCTCTCTAATGTAAAACAAATGACAAGATTTTTCTTGAAAGACAAGGAACCTATCGCAGATCTCTATAGGTATTAATTGAGAAAATTGACTTTGCATTACCAAGATAGTTCGCATTACAGTTTTGTTCGTCGTGTCGAAATGACGAGTCTTATTTTACTTATCTGACAGTATGTGATTGTGTGATTTTACTTACTTTTTTATTTCATTCCACATTGCCGACTATCTATTTCGTTGAAATGGATCTTTTTAATTTTGACGCAGAGGTGAGTTTTTTATGGGAGAGACATAACTTGCTTGTTTTTATCATAAATCAAAAGACATATAACATTTTTTGTCCTCTATAGAATAACGACATTTCTTCTCAATCGATAATCCAATCGTTTGACGAGCAACTCAGTTTCTCTGATCATCTCATCATTTTTTATTGTCATTTATACGTATAATTTTATTCATATTACAAATGTTAACGTCATATTTAAAGTTTTCCTGCGTTTCATATTGTGCATCTGATGAGGGCCAAAACGATGGGCCGAAACATGTTATGATATGTTATACATTGTATCTACGTAGTCTTATTGTTTTTGTAATTTTCTTCTTTTTATTCTTATTAATATATATGTGTTATTTTTAAAGACTTATTTTATTTATTTTTATTACAAAAATTGACTCTTTCAATAATTTAAAAAATACTTAGTTTATAATTTAATATTTTATATAATATTTATGAATAAAAGGTAGAATCTAAATAATTATCATAAACATTGTGTGGATAGAGGTTAACAGGATGCAAAAATTATGTTGTGCATATACACGTGTGTGTACATAAATTATTACTTAATTAAATATAATATTAATTTTTTAGTAGTGTAACGTGTCTAGAAAAATATCCATTCTCTATTGTGGCACCGTTCTTCACGGAATCAATTTGTCATCATCGTCAACTGAAGAATTAAATCTATGTGAGACAAAAAAAGCGTGAAAAAGGAAAAACACAAAGAAGGAAATGAAAAATAGACAAATATCAGACAAGTAGCTAATATTATAAAATAGAAGAGAACAATTTGTGTATGTGTGCATTGTTGTTGGATCAGTTCTTTCTCTCGGTTAATTTTTTTCAGGTTTCGGAAAAGAATAGAAGAAAAAGAAAAGAAAGGTGATTATATCTTCTGTTTAATTGATATTTAATTAATCGCACTGGTGATGAGGTATTCTGTGTTGCATATAGGGCTGGGTAACATTTGAAATAACCGATAAATACTTTTATTTATAATACTGCGATCACACTGGGCTAGATAAAATGTTTTTTGAATTCCATTTAAAATACTAAATGTAAAATACTTAGAGAAATTTATAGATACTATATCAATTAATTGAGGGGCTGGATTCTATAAGGGGATACGCGTGGATTTCGCGAGATAAGTATTGTCCGCAAGGGCTAATTTTGGACATCGCTCTAATTTCAATTTTGACGACTGATTCTTAGAGAATTTCATAGCGCATCTTTTTTGTCTTTAAACCAAATTTGAAATTTTTTTTGTTTTTAAGTTATAAACAAAAAAATAATTTTTTTAATGAAAAAATTTCAATAGGTTTTTGTGTTCCACTCGCCATATTTCAGCCAAATATGAATATTTTTCTTTGAAATTTTAACAGGATAAACTTCATGTTTCTCGAAATATAAAGCATATAAAAAGTTTTTGAAATATTTCACAGCCAAATGCCGAATTTTTCAAAATATTCCTCTCGAATTCGTAGTTTTATTCATTCGATCACAAAAGTTATCGTACGAATTTTCGATTTATCAACATTTACCGATACTACAATTTTTTTTATTAGTTAAGGAACTTATTTGGAAAGTTTTAGCTCTTTAAATATTATGGTTGTAAAGTAATAACAATTTATATCGTCGATCCGATTACATAGCGCGCTGCGCGCAACGCGAAAGTTCGAGCCGTTCGCTTCCGCGAAACAAGGGTATTAATAATGTGTCGAAATATAATATACTTAAGGGCTCCCAAAATCTTTTTCAACTTCTTAATTGTTTACAGTTACAAAATAAAAATTAGAGTATCATATCAATAAAAATTGATCACAAAGCGTATTTTTAATCCATTAGCGAATATAAATATATACTCCTTTCCATTGCATGTAATAAGATACTATTCTACGAAATGTAAATACACAAAAAACGAAGTGAGTACATTTTTTTATATATTTGCTATTATATAACATTTATTATTTATTACATTATATAATATTTGTATAGAATATTTGCTATTATGTAAAAAATGTACTCACTTCGTTCTTTATGTATTTATATTTCGTAGAATAGTATCTCATTATACATATAACGGAAAGGAGTATGTTTATATTCGCTAATGGATTAAAAAACGCTTTGTGATCAATTTTTATTTACAATTTTTATTGATATGATACTCTAATTCTTATTTTGTAACTGTAAACAATTAAGAAATTGAAAAAGATTTTGGGAGCCCTTAAGTATATTATGTTTCGATACATTATTGATATCCTTGTTTCGTGGAAGCGAACGGCTCCAACTTT